ATTAATACAAAGATCGAACACTCAGAAAAAATTCCTTCGATCCGGTCGGATTCGAACCGACGTCTTCTTGCATACCGTGCCAGACGCTATATCAACTAAGCCACGGAACGAACCAACGGACCTCACGAATTTTTCTATGTGCTTGCGTCGTGTCTTTGTACTTGGTCTTTCAATGACTTTTTAGTCGTAGCGCCATCTATGAGAAATCTATTGCAGATTTATCACCCAGTTAGTACCTTAACAGCTACCAGTCCTGGCGAGTGATGTCGCTATTCATTGTATTAATTAAATTTTTATTGAATTGATATTCAATTATTTTTGATTATTGATATTAAAAATAATTGAATATCAATTCAATAAAAATTTAATGAATAAAGTTATTCAAAAATAATATTTTGCCAATTGAAGTATTTTTTCAGTTTTTTAATTGCCTGTATTTATAAATCCAAAAAGTTGGATTGTTTGAAAACAAATAGGTATACGCGATTTTAGGTCCCAAAAATAGTTTTATTTCCAAAGTGTTGCCATCGCGAAAACCTAAGAACTCTGAAGAATAGTTAATGTAATGTAATGTAAATAAAATATTTTTTATGACAATTATGAGTTATTAATATACGTATATATTAAATGAGTACACGATTCAGCTACGGAGGACTATGAAACACGTTGTCCTCGCTGACCTGCTGTCATAGCTCGTAATGGTTAAGAATACCTACACAAAAAATATTGAACATGTTTTACCTAGGCGTATTATTTGAAAATTATAAGAATTAAAATGCAATTAAAATTCCAAAACATTCACTAGTAATACAACAAATACATTTATGGAATAAATTATAAGGAGCCCGCAACCCCGAATTGCGTAATAAAAGCAATTGTATTGCATAGTTACGGCTGAAAGTAAGTAACGATTGGGACACTGCCCATATTACAGTAGGAGTTACGAGGGCCATACTGAAAGTTTTGCAGAACTCATAAATAAAATTATTTATAACAACATTAATATGTTTATTGCTTTTCAAAATATTTTCCGTTACATATTAAACACTTTTTCATACGCTCGAACCATTTTTTAAAACAGAAAGCCCACTCATCTGAGAGTACGTCATCAACGTGTTGGTTAAAAGTCGCCACTGCCACTCCATGTTTTCATTATGCACATAGTTGACGGACGAGCTTCACGAATCTCATCATGGAGAGAAACACGACCATGATTAAATTCAGCGTACCTACGCCTGACAGTGCTTAAATGTGGTGCTTCAAGCGCAAAAGCATTTTGAAGGCGCGCACAGCACTGTTGTGGATAAAGATAACTTTTAAAGTCATAAAAAATCATTGCTCTAAATGTTTACGCGTTAAATTCATTTTCAGTGCGAACCGTACAGTTCAACTGTCAAATTTAAAAAATGACAAGCAATTTCCCGCCAAAAATATTGCATTCGATAGATAGAATTCTATAATGGCCAAAGGCTGGACCGCATAGTGAAATAAACAAAGAATTATATTTTTTTGGACATAAATTCTAATATTAATGATTCGCCAAGAGTGCAAAACTTTCAGTGTGGCTTACGTACCACCAATTCCATATTATAGATGATTGGGATTAGAGTTGTAAAGGCCAATATTGCTCATAGGGTGCTATTTGACGTAATTGTAAATTGATTTAAGTATGTCAAAACATCAATAACAAGTATTTGTATACGTTTGGAGAAAAATCGGCAGAAATTTATATGTATTGTAAACATACACAAAGTTTTATGAACACGTTATAAATTTTAAATAAAATTATAAATCAGTTTAAATCCATCTCCTGTAAAATTACAAGTTGTACAATGCGTCCGCTAGCACCAAGTGAGCGGTATATCCGTTCAACGTCACGGGTACTATATACTCCGTAAAATTTAGCTCGATTACAATGACAGGTCGACGAAATTAGAACTACGTAAATTTTTGGCAGTGTCATATTATCTCTATTTTTTTAAACAACAGAAATCAGTAATTATTTAACATATTTACGTTAGCACTAAAATTTATTGATGAATAGCTTCGAGTGAATTACATTGTGATGTTGTTAATGTTTATTTTCACAACTTCACACGATACAGTTATGTCCGACAGAAAAAAGTTTTTAAATAAAAAGCTCTGTCAGTCGAGAAAAAAGAAGTTTGGCAAAATAGTTTTTTTTTTAATTTAAAATTTGAATGTTACAATATACTATTATTTGCTTATACTCGGTTACATTTCATGGAAATTAAACTGTAAATTAACAAATAATGGTCGCGCCTGTTCGACATTAATCGTGAGGTGAACCTTATTCATGAATTATTGAGTTGATATATTTTAACATCGATTTCCGATTTCTTTCTAATCACATAAATAAATTTTTACGGAGTGTAATAGTGATAAAAGAACGATACTCCCTCGAATATTCTCTAAATCTATTTCATTTCTTTAAAAAAAATCACAAAGGCACTAGAAACAATATCAGCACTGGAGCGTCACTGCAAAAATTGTAACATGTGTTTTCACTTAGACCGTGACCATATTCGGGGTAAAATATTTTTGCTCAACAATATGGAAATAACTGTGTCGCCTTTGGTAATTACGATCGTATTTGTTGCGAAGAAAGCGTAATAATGAGTTTGACTGTCATTTGTTTTTAGTGAATGTTTTACGAGATTTGTTTGTGAAAAGGATTTCAATAAAGTGTGTAATTCATGGGTTTTGCTTTTTGGAAACATGTGCGTATGGCTTTGTACTTTTAAAGACGGACTTTTTGGTAAAACTAACAAATGACTATTTTGTGAATTTGACATGTGCGAACAATGACTCAGGTCCTTTATGAGTGATCAGGTTTGTTTTGTGTTGTTTTAATAATCAATATCGGAGACATTGTTTCAGGCCAAATTTGTAAATGTCTCTAAGGGTTTTAAGAAAAGAACGTAAGTAATGGAACGCATTGTTACCTTTGTCAGTTCACCAGTTGTGTTTTGTAGTTGCGTTGTTCGTCGCTTAAGTGTAAAACTCACGAAACTATTATCACTGATAATTAGAAATGGGCAGATGCCCGGGTTTTAATCCAGTGCGTTGTTAACGCCGGGTTTAAATCGGGTTAAGCCCCATTAAAGTATTTATGTGTTGGAAATCGAGTTTTATTCAAATTGAATGATATTATTACAAAAGTTTATTGCTTTCTGATCTAGATGATTCGATTCGCCTTTCTATTGAATCGGTTCGCTTGAAAATCGCATTGAAACAAATCGATGCAAAAAATTAAATCGTATGCACTTGAATTGATTTCATAAAATCCATCCTTAATACTGAGAATCCACAGGATTGCAAGGTGGATATTGAAGGTAAAGTTTTTACGTCGAAATTCGTAACAAGTATGGAATTATACCAAATTCCGTTTTCGCCAAAACCCCATCTCCGCTGATAATAGGATTCTTATCACTATGCGACTTCTTATTATTTTTCTCATATTTCGGAAAAGCTCTTATGCTTCAGGGTATATATACAATATATATATGTCTTTTTTATTCAAAGTGTTATTTGAATTTTAACAAAATTTAATGCTGTGTGGTATAAAATTAACGGTAGGAACATATATATCAATATCTATTTATATCAGTCGTAATTTTCTTAATCTAAAACCAGGGGGCCAATCGCGCTAATTGTCAAAGGTTTAACCAAAACCTCCAACCTCGCCAATCTGACACGTTGTGTACATTTCGTATCGCGCTAACTGTCAAAACAAAAACCTAAGCCAAAACTTAGACGTGTGACACGTAACGCACATTTGGTATCGCGCTAATTGTCAAACGTAAAACCAAAACCTAAAATGTTGCAAATTGGTATCGCGCTAAATATTTTGACGTTTTAACCTCACATGTAACCTTGGGGGAATAGAGTAACCTTGGAAAGGTTAAGGTTTGTGTGGCAGTTAATGGAGAGTAACTTTTCACTACGTTTATCGTATATAAAAGATGTTCCACGGTTACTTAAATGTTTTGGAAAGTGCTTATGAGGTGGATGTGGCCTAAGAACGGGCTTTAAATAAAAGAAAAGCATAGAAAGACGATCACATTTAACATGTCTGAGGAGAAATTCCGCAAACGATATACCGTTTGTCCACGGAATTCATTTCAGGATTGGTGGAAGAACTATGCCTACATATTCTCGTTAAAGGATGGTCTGTTGCATTGGATGTGGAGACAAAGGTAAGGGTTAAGTGGAATCCGAAAGTTCTCAGTTTTGCATAATAACCAAAATTTCTATACTGTGTAAATCATTATTAATTTTGTTACAGAGTTTAATAGCTCGTATAGTTTTTAACAACTGGGGCGTACTAGACCCCCATTGGCAAGTGCTTATCACCCTTTCCCAAGCCAGTGTCAGAGAGGCACAAGCAGTAGCTGCTTCAAATAAACCAGTTATTATGAATAAATATGCAGCTTTCCTAAAAGGCATGCCGAAAGAGATGATATTAAAAGGCGGTGAGAAAATAAGCTTTACAATGTACATCATATTTATTAGTTCTTGTCTTATTTCCTGTTGTTATTATCAAATTAAAATTACAGATATAGGTAAAATATGTATAGTTGTATAAAAATATATTACAAGGTTACAATTTATCTCTTTTAACACTTGACTTTATACAACATATCGTCCCCTTACAGTGAAGCCTCACATATGCATTTTCAGTTTGTTTTTACTGATTTTTGTTGAATAAAAATTAATAATGTAATAATATAGTATCTAAAAGAGGTATAATTTAAGTAATTAAAATGCTAACTACACACATTATTGCATTTACTATACTTCACACCATATTTTTATCTTCATCCTAAAAAATTACATAGAAATATGAGGTATTCATTCTAAGATGACGATGTATACCTATTGTAATTGTTTATTATCTTAATATCTAAATTGATGTATACTTTTAAGAGGTTGAAATAAAAAAAAGAGTGTATTTTTAGTTTATTTATTGCCTCAATCTACCCCAAATGATCCTTCATTTCCAGAGCGAGCTTGCTTTTGATTCTTCAAAGAAGTCTGAAACAAAAATATGTATATAGGAAGATTGGAGACCTAAATTTAAGACTGTGCCATACCTCTCATGAGAGTAGTGACAGATAAAGCAGGATGGGTATTTATATACATACAGTATGAAGCCAACATAAACGCCAGAATGTTTAGGGGCCTTTTCAAAATACATTTAAAAAAATGTTTATATCACTGTGGAAATATAAAGGGGACAAAAGTCTACAGATTAGACCTTCGTTCCTTACGCTCTTTCAGATTTCCACAATTGAACATATCATCAGCAGGAATTAAGAAAACATGTTGAAAACAAACCTGTCATTCTTGTTAAATATTCTATCAAAAAGGTTAACTGCAGGCACCAACTCGGTAATTGCTTTGCAAATAGCAGCTACGGATTGGGCATGCAGATCATCTGTTTTGACAGAAATAATAGCTGCCTCAGCCTGCACCCTGCCAGCATTCACTTGCTGCAAGAATGCTTCGCATGCTCGCAGCTTCTCAATGCATAAGAATTCTACCCGGCTCTGCTCCAACGCTCATCAGCTCGCTGCCAACGAAATAATAGATGTGATGTAATAAAGAGTGGGAAAGAATTTGCTCAAATTGAAAGTTACTTTGTTTTTTAATTAATAATAAAGAGTGAGAAAGTTACTTTGTTATGGAATTGTATGTTTGAAGTTATTTAGTTACTTAGTGCTAGAGTTGGTGTCCTTTAGGAAGGTTGGTAGGTCCTCTGCCGCAGTCGATGTGGCGTAGATTCTCACCCTGCTTTTCATACCATTCCATATCTGAATAACAAATAATAACATTGCATATTATAGTGATATGAGTTCTGGTACAATAAGGGTGAGTGATCCATTCACTGTATCCTATTACCTCTCATTATGACTCACCTTTTGGGATCTATTGCGGGGCCATAAAATAGCCACACACTCGCACCAAAGGCGTGCTGATAACACGCGCGAACAACGCCGAGCGAAGTCATTCTCAAGCTAAATCTCTGTGCGATTCGAACTCCAGCAAAGATGGAGCTGGCTTACAGTGGTCGCTCGCCGTCCGACCGCATCCACATTGGCTGAAATACGAGCATCATTATTAATTCTACATTGCTAACATTTCGAAATTAATAGTAGTTAGCGTACCTATTTGATTGTATAAAAAGATACTATTTTATTAAATAGAATATTAAAACAGGAAAACAATGTGTAGGTACTTACCTCTGTGTGTTTTATCTACAACAACACACTAAATTCAATTAATTTGGTTCAAATGACAACTCATATGTTTGTTTACAATAGAATTTAATGACATTTCTTTTACACACTTTTTTAAATCGCTCTTTTATAGACTTGAATTCGTAAATATTGACATTTCAGTGCGTTTTACGGTAAAATTTAGTCGGTTTTAGGAAGTCAAGGCACGTCTCTTAAAATTTAATACGAGGTTATAGTTTGAGGTTTAACTGAGGTTTAGGTTCATTAAAACTGATAGCGCGATTGCATTTTGTGCGTCGGTAGAACCATTAATTAACCAAAACCATAACCTCAAATGTTGTACGGTTAAACCTTGCGAAAATAGCGCGATTGGCCCCCTGGTCAACTAAAAACAATCAATAAAAAATTAAACGAATGTCAAAATCCACAAACAAAACTTTTTTCTTACATTTCAAAATATATTGTTTTACAAAAATAAAATAAAATTAAAAGTGTCTAAAGTCATCGCTGTCTAAAGCAGTGTTTAATCATTGCTCTATGTCTTCTTGAATTACTAAGGTACTTTTTCAATTTGCCATTCACTAGAAACTGAAATTAAAAACAAAAATGCATAAAATATGTCACGCAAGAAACTTACGTATCTATAGTCGTGGGTCCATTGGACGCACATGTAAACCATTACTCACGTTTAGAGCAGCGAGCAAAACACGTCTATCTCACAGTGTGCGCTTTGGAGTGACCTCGGAAGGTCTGAGGAGTGGGAAGACCTGCGTCGCCTACAGCGATTGCTACGCGAGTTTAAAGAACTAACTTGCCCATGGCCCATTGGACCCACGACTATAGTTAAGGGTTAAGACTTAAGGTGTCACCAGCGCTGATTTTCGACGTCATCAGTGTTATCGTTTAATGATATTACCTATGTAAAGGTCCAAAGACTTTGGACTAAACCAAACTTATGACTTATTCTTTGCCTTTAAGGATGCCCGAAAGAAGTTTCTATTTAGCATTAAAGCCATTATTATTGACTTTATTGTTCTCAGCTTGTTAGCTGGTTTGAACAATTACAGACCTGTTATTGTTATACATATTATTATTCTAAGTTTTCATTTTCAACGTGTAATAAAAATATTTCAATAATTCGTTACAACTCGATGCTAGTCATCGTCTTTGTCTGTCACTGTCATCTTATCCACGGGCATCATGGCAAGTGTCCGTCTAATGAGTGTGCACTGGAAGTATGTCAATTGTCATGTAATAGCGGGGGGACAAAGGCGATGGGGGAGGAGGAGGCAGTCATACCGCGCGCGCTACCGAGCACGACTCGTGCGCATCTTGGACTAATCGCCTGATTAGCATGGCTGCCACCGAGGAATGATACTGTGTGGTGCTAGGAATTCTCATGTATTATTATTGTGACTTATACGAGTATATATATTATTTTATATTTTTTAAGCTTATAATGTGAAAATGACTTGAGGTCATTTTTCTGCTTTTCACGTTTGTTCCTAGTCGATCCTGCATGCAGAATTTTTTTTTAATTCCCATTCAGGCGGCCGATCAAAAAAAATTCTTATAAATATAGTAGTAATCAATCAGTGGTGAAGGGAAGGAAATAGTTCGATAATAATAATTATTATTATTATAATTTTTATAATTATTAGCATTCAAATTAACCCGAATAATTACCACCGCGTTTAAATTTGGTATACTTATTTATTAGATCCACATGTGCATGCCCTTGTGATATTATTACAAAAACAACATGTTATACATAGTTTAGTTTATTGAAGTGCATGTGTATAATATGCCTTCACTATGCTTGTAGGCCTAATGTTTGGTCAGCTACGTAGTGAAACTATACTTATTTTGTTACGTATGAGGTTCTATACGACTTGCGTTTTTACAAACAAATGAGTTGTACAATATGAATTTATAATCGTAATATTTAATCGTCGTGTTTTTTATTATTATCTATGAATAAAACTCATTGATAGAGCACCTCTCAAGATAATAATATGAAATGGTAAATGTAGACTAGACTAGATCTAATACCAAAAATTTGTCTTGTACCAGTTACAACAATTAGTCGGTAGAGGCGCAATATTATTTACTGGTACTCTTTGCAATAGTTGGAAATATACCAAAGCATTATATAAATAATTATAGCGGTGATAATCCAGTGAGCGTAGGGTTGCTCCTCAAACCAAACGTTTATGCCATTGGTTAGTTAGTTACACCATACTCTTTTTATGGTATCAAATTACGAGACGAACAAGTCGTGCGCCTGTCCATAACAGTAGCAGTGCCGCTCAGAGCTTTAAACTCCCAAAGATCTGAGTGGCACTGTCTCTGCACCCTTACTCTTCAAAACCAGAACGCAGTAATGTTTACATTACTGCCTGACGGCAGAAATAGGTGAGGTGGCAGTACTTCCCTGGACGAACTCTTTCACAAAGAGGTCTACTGCTACTAATAGAAAGACCTGATGACCGGCCCGTATCATGAAAACTTTCATTCGGGTCAGAACCAGAAAACCTAACCTAAACTAACTCACTAAACCTTAACGAGACTATTTAATCAGAATTAAATAGTTTCCTGAAGGTTAATTTGATCGAGAAGCAAGTTAAAGATCCCTAATAACATAATAGGGGTTAAAGTATGAAATTGCCGATTTGTACTGAAAATCTAAATTGTTTATTTTTTAAATTTTTAACAAATTTATTTAATCAAAATAGTTGCCATTATTATCTATACATTGCTGCCATCTAATGGGAAGGTTATTAATGCCTTTGCGATAGAACTCCGACGATCTAGACTGCACAAACTGTGTGAAAGCATTTTGTACTGCCTCCTGGGAAGAAAACTTCTTGTCACGTAGATAATTGTCCAAATCACGAAAAAAATGGTAGTCCGTTGGAGCAAGGTCTGGTGAATACGGAGGATGACGAATGGTTTCTAACTGCAGTTCCTGAAGGGTCAAAATGGTTTCTCGTGCTGTGTGAGGTCTCGCGTTGTCGTGGAGCAATAATGGTGAAGATCGATTCATGAGTCGGGGCTGTTTTACTGCTAGTTTTGTCAACATGGTTCGGAGTTCGGCACAATAGACATCTGCCGTTATTGCTTGACCAGATCGGAGAAAACTATAGTGAATAACACCATGCTGAGACCACCAAACAGTTACCATTACCTTTTTATTGGTAAGTTTTGCTTTAGGACACTGTTGTGGCATTTGACCTGGGGTCAGCCATTGCATTTTTCTTTTCCGGTTATCATAAAGAATCCACTTTTCATCACATGTTACAATTCGATCCAATATTCCTTCATTTCTGTACCGGTTCAACAAGGCAACACAAGTTTCAACACGCGTTTCTTTCTGCAGATCAGTCAAATCATGAGGCACCCATTTTTCGTATTTTTTTATTTTATTGATTTGACGCAAGTGAGTCAATATTGTGGGTAAGGTAACGTTAAACCATGCCGCTAATTCCTGGGTAGTTTGACTAGGATCGGCTTCCACTATCTCTCTTAATTCATCGTTATTCACCTGTGTGGGCGGTCTTCCTCGTGGCTCGTTCTTTAAGTCGAAATTTCCATCACGAAAGCGTTTAAACCAAAATCGCACGGTGCGTTCATTAGTAGACCCCTCTCCAAACGCAGCATTGATATTGCGGGCTGTTTCTGCCGCGTTAGTTCCGCGTCGGAACTCGTATTCAAAAATCACTCGAATTTTCGCAGTATCCATCTTTCTTGTCTAAATTGAATAACAAAAACAATTGAAAGTCGATATTCAAATGTTTCAAATTAAAAAAAAAAAATCACAGAAACCATTTGAAATGAGTTTCATTCGAAAACCTCAAACCATGAAGATTCTATGAAAATTCAAAGAACCTATTGCAATAAAACGGCAATTTCATACTTTAACCCCTAATATTTACATACCAATTACTATTTGGTCAATGTTCGCATTTTATTAATTAAATGGACTTATTGTATTGTTATCTGAAGACAAAAGAACATATTGTTTATAGTCCACACAAACTTGACTTCAAAGACTTTTGAACCTTCTCCAGCACGCAATATTGTTAATTGGAAGGTAAAGAAGCTGTATTACATTTTTTTTCAAAAAGTTTTAGCAAACTTAGGAGGATGCTGAGATTATTGGAGGATCTTGGGTGTCACGGGTAGGACCCTGCACACAACACGCAAAATAGGCGCCCACTTGGAGTTGCGGACGCCAACCCGTTACGCAATAGAATACTACACCATAAAACCTCTCGTTAACGGTGAAACATGCTGAAACCTCGAAGATGGTTCACGGCTCTTGCTAAACATAATAATTATGAAGTCCCCAACGTGACTTGGGTTAGCGTGACCATGGCCTCTAACATGGGACTGTGGTTTCTTTATAGAGGGGACCCGTGATGATGATTAAATGCTGTGTTCAAAATAGTGGTGTACAAAGTAGTAATAGAATTATTACGATTTACAATGTACAAAACTGTTCAAGTGATTTCTACATGTACTTACAAACAGCATTGCTTTGTGTGAATTCTACACTTTGGAACTAAAAAGAGAAATTTCATATTCCAACAATTGCACCGCACGCGCAGCACAATATGAGAAGGAAGTGAAAATTTGGTCGTACTGTTCGTTGTAAGTTTATGAGTTTTCTCCACAGCCTTGGTCGCCCGTAAAACGGTTATGACCACTTTCTTGGAACATATCACTGTGGTGCAGGCTAGTTTGTTTGATCTTTGCACTTGAAAAACTAGACCACAGCGCAATAAATTTGTTATAAGGCTGAATTAAAAGAACACTTACAAACACT